ATATTTCCACACATCCATACATACATCCACACATACATGCACATTCATTGATAGTTTCATTTTTTCCAAAAGATATGTAAATATACAATATATATATATACATGTGTGGTTTGTGTCGTGTATATATGTATTATATGTGTTTGTTCAGATATAGTGACCCACCTACATTTTGGAGCAATCATAACCCCAAAGGAGGTTTCTAAGTCTGGCCAGTGTTGGGTTTTGTTTTCTTTTAAAATCAACACTTAGAAACTGAAATTTTGATAAATTTTGGAGTTTCTAAGTGTTTGCTCCAAAATTTTGGAAAAATGTTTCTAAGTGTAACTCGGTCGCTATAATAATAATTAATAATCATTCAAAAAGCATTAATAAGCATTAATAATCATTACTAATCATTATTAAGCATTAATAAGCATTAAACATCACTAAACATCATTAATATTCATGAATAAACATTAAACATCATCAAACATCATTAATTAATCATCATGAATACACCTCATCATTTTCGTTGCTTCCCCATTTTTAAGACGTGACAAGGCCCTTGACGGCGGGCTCCCTGCAAGTGCGCGCCGGCCCGAGCGTGGTGATTACCTCCCTCCAAGAGGCCAATCCCGGGGGATTTCCCACGGAAAATCATCGGAAAACCATAGGTAAACCATAGAAAATCATAGGACAATCATAGGAACACCATGGGAAAATCATAAGAAAATCGCCATAGGAAAATTTCCATAGGAAAATCATGTTCAAGTGGTAGACAAAATCATGTCAATGTGGTATTAAATTACTAAATCATTAAATGACGGGTAACAAAAGAAACTTGAGGATTCAACCATTTAACATTGGGATATAGTGAGTATATAATGGCATGGAAGTAATTATGATCTGGGTGGCAAATGTTCAACTGAAATACTGGGATTTACTTGACTCTAATGGGGATAGATTACCAACCAAATGGGGACCTAACCGTCAAAAATAAGGATGTAACCAATAAACCATCGGGTTTGTGGTATAAATATGTATTGTTCTCGACCATACTGGGGATGATTGACACCGTGGAAATGATTTTGGGGTGTTTTGGAACGCATTTATATAGTTACATGGATCATATTTGGACTGTTTGGATTATTTTTGGATTATTTCTGGATGTGATTGGGATGATTGGGATTATTGGGTTCGTCAAAAAAAAGGCGACTTCTAAAATGTTCAATGTCAACTGGGAACACGAACTGAAACTTTGCCGGATTTCATTCAAAGAGATTCACATGGATTGACTATTGTGATGATGTTTGAATGAATAACAAATTAAGTCATTTTTCACAGTAATCATTGGCTATATTTGGATCATGTTTTTTTTCAACTATATCAGATTTCAACGTATTTGTAAGTCTGAATATTATATTATATTATATCATATTATATTTTATTATATTATATTAAATATTATATATATGTGTGTGTTTTATCATTTCAAATCATATTATACTATATTATATTATATTATAGTAAATTAGCGTTTTGTTTTGTTTTGTAATCTTGTGTTATGTTGTAAATTAGCCTATGTATATATATATATATTACATTATATTGCTCTATTTTATTGTACTATATCATTTTATTTCCTTATATTGTATTGTGTTACATTCTATGTCGTGTCATGATGTAATTTTGGTACTATATATATATTGTATTATATTATGTTTTATTGCATGATGTTATAATACGCCATTACGCGTATTTATCTACAGAATTATACACATTATATTATATATTAGGTATATAATACAATATAATATATATATACACGTTTTGAGTCTTGAGGAGAGGTGGAAGAGATGTAAAGTTCCCCAAGTACTTGCCAGCGCTTTCAGGCCACGAGATACTTTTTCAGAGCTCGGGAGCTGTGCAGCAACGGTGCTCCATTGAGCTCTCCATGGGGCAACACCGAGGAACTGTCTCACAGTGTTGGTAGCAGTCCCAAAATGAGGGATGAACTGCCAAAAAAAAACAATGTTAATAGCGTACATCCGGGACAATTATGATTAGCGATCTAAAATTGGGTTTCCCTCCCAACTAGATAAATCTAGACACATCCCCCCAAAGAAACCCTGGCGTCACCACCTGAAAACTGGTGTCTCAGATACTCCCAAATGGCCATATCAATGGTGGAAACCAGGAACACCTTTGGTGCTGCAGATGCCACATGGTATCAGGATATAGCATTGAGATCCATTGAGTCAGATTTGGCGTGTCGATTTCAAGTTTCAAGATCTTTTATGTGTCTACCTGTTTGCTGTCTGCCTGGTGGGACCCCCCATAAGTTGGTTTATAAACCACATCAACTATATCTCGAATAAATTTATATAAATCAATGTAAATCCATAGTTCACCTGCTGAACTCAAGAAACTTAACTATCTATGGTCTGATATGGGGCCTTGCACATCTCGGACATATCGGGTGCTCCGGGAGGAGCCTTTGCAAACCCTAGGGGTACCACCTGCACGGGGGCCCAAATGGGAGCGAATGGGTCCGCAAAAAAGAAAGCAAGGTGAAGAATTGTCTAATTTGGATATATGAGTTTCATCAGTTTCATCTATTGTTAAGAGGTTTTGTGGGATCTGGTGGATTTCGATCATTTGGCTTAAACTTAAGATGCTGTTTGTTCCCCTCAATGACACAGTTGGCGTTTGACGCCTGGCTGGAACAGTTTCTTACTTAATTACAAGTGATACAACTCATATTCCAAGGTATTGGCAGGTAGCTTCAAAGTGGACCCACCGTCCCGGTAGGTCTCACAGGCAAGTCTTACTATCGATCGGAGACCTGCCAGACGCACAAATCACAAAGATTGAATAATATATATATATACATATACATACGTGTACATATATATATATACACACGTATGTATATATATATATATCATAATAACATTGTTTTGAGAACTTTAAGAAGAACATCATCTCTGATGTTTCTTGCCCACCTCGAAAAATCATGTTTTGTCACAAGTTGTAATGCTCATCCTCCAACTTTGGCCGTGAGGGCTTTCTAAATCCCATGTTTAAAGGCCAAAGCTGGGGGTTTATTGTCGAAATCCAGACAAACCAGACAAAAAGCTAGTCACTATTTATATTCAATATGCCCATATATATATATATACATAGAGATATAACAATCCTGGAGTAGATAGAATCCCGTATCGTAGGGGGCGTTTTTTTTTTTGAAAAAAACCAGGGTTTTTTGACCCAATACTAAACTATATATTCGGACCCCCTAGATAGAATATTCCAAAATCTACTCCAGGATGCTCAAAATGTGTTTTTTTTTCCTTTCCTTTTCAAAACCTTCCACTTTATTTTTTTCTTTCAAATTTTCCTTTTCAAACAGCTGCAAAAAATGAACTTCGGATGGTAAGATCGTAGACGTAGATTCCTACTTTTTTCATTTCCTTTTCCTTTCACACTTTTCCCTTCAAAAATCTGTAATTGTGAACTTTGGATGGTAAGATCGTGGATTCCAGCTTTTCTCATGCCATGTTCCTTTCAAAGTTTGATTCCTGCTTTTCTCATGTCCTTTTCCTGTCACAATTTTCCATTCAAAAACCTTCAATTATGAACTTTGGATGGTAAGATCGTGCATTCCAATTTGTTTCCTTCCATTTTCCTTCCAAGTTTCCTTTTCAAACAGCTGCGAGAATGAACTTTGGATGGTAAGATCAGCTATTCCTACTTTTCTCATGCACTCTTCCTTTCAAACACAGTTTTCCATTCAAAAACCTTCAATTATGAACTTTGGATGCTCGATCTTGGATTCCTACTTTTCTGTACTTTTCTCATCTCCTTTTCCTTTCACGGCTTTCTATTCCAAAACCTGCAAGACTGAACTTTGAATGGTAAGATCGTGGATTTCTTCTTTTCTCATCCCATTTTCCTTTTGTTGCTTCTTTTCAAAAACCTGCAATTTCAACTTTGGATGGTAAGATCCTGGATTCCTACTTTTTTAATGCCATTTTCCTTTTAAAGTTTGCTTTCAAACAGCTCCAAGAATGAACTTTGGATGGGTAGATGTGGAGGAAGGGGCAGGGAACACCACAAATACATGCTCAACTCCAAGCATCCTTTAAAAATTCAGTCTTTTCATGGTTCTAGAGGATATTCTATCTATAGTTTTGCCCAACTGTCCTAGCACAGCACTAGCAAAAATGAACTTTGGATGGTCGATCTTGGGTTCCTACTTTTCTATACTTTTCTCGTCTCCTTTTCTTTTCACAGTTTTCTATTCAAAAACCTGCAAGACTGAACTTTGAATGGTAAGATCGTGGATTATTTCTTTTCTCATCCCATTTTCCTTTTGTGGTTTCTTTTCAAAAACCTGCAATTTCAACTTTGGATGGTGAGATCTCGGATTCCTATTTTTTAATGCCATTTTCCTTTTAAAGTGTGCTTTCAAACAGCTCCAAGAATGAACTTTGGATGGGTAGATGTGGAGAGGATAGCGGGCAGGCACCAACACACATATATATATTTACATGACCTACAACTCATTTAATCCCAGCTATACCTTTAAAAATTCAGTCTTTTCATGGTTCTAGAGGATATTCTATCTATAGTTTTGCCCAACTGTCCTAGCACAGCACTAGCACAAATGAACTTTGGATGGTCGATCTTGGATTCCTACTTTTCTATACTTTTCTCGTCTCCTTTTCTTTTCACAGCTTTCTATTCAAAAACCTGCAAGACTGAACTTTGAATGGTAAGATCGTGGATTATTTCTTTTCTCATCCCATTTTCTTTTTGTTGCTTCTTTTCAAAAACCTGCAATTTCAACTTTGGATGGTAAGATCTTGGATTCCTACTTTTTAGATGCCATTTTCCTTTTAAAGTTTGCTTTCAAACAGCTCCAAGAATGAACTTTGGATGGGTAGATGTGGAGGAAGGGGCAGGGAGCACCACAAATACATGCTTAATCCCAAACATCCTTAAAAAATTCAGTCTTTTCATGGTTCTAGAGGATATTCTATCTATAGTTTTGCCCAACTTTCCTAGCACAGTACTAGCACAAATGAACTTTGGATGGTCGATCTTGGATTCCTACTTTTCTGTACTTTTCTCATCTCCTTTTCCTTCCACGGCTTTCTATTCAAAAACCTGCAAGACTGAACTTTGAATGGTAAGATCGTGGATTTCTTCTTTTCTCATCCCATTTTCCTTTTGTTGCTTCTTTTCAAAAACCTGCAATTTCAACTTTGGATGGTAAGATCCTGGATTCCTGCTTTTTTAATGCCATTTTCCTTTTAAAGCTTGCTTATGGGTAGATGTGGAGGAAGGGGCAGGGAACACCACAAATACATGCTTAATCCCAAACATCCTTTAAAAATTCAGTCTTTTCATGGTTCTAGAGGATATTCTATCTATAGTTTTGCCCAACTGTCCTAGAACAGCACTAGCACAAATGAACTTTGGATGGTCGATCTTGGGTTCCTACTTTTCTATACTTTTCTCGTCTCCTTTTCTTTTCACAGCTTTCTATTCAAAAACCTGCAAGACTGAACTTTGAATGGTAAGATCGTGGATTATTTCTTTTCTCATCCCATTTTCCTTTTGTGGTTTCTTTTCAAAAACCTGCAATTTCAACTTTGGATGGTAAGATCTTGGATTCCTACTTTTTAAATGCCATTTTCCTTTTAAAGTTTGCTTTCAAACAGCTGCAAGAATGAACTTTGGATGGGTAGATGTGGAGGAAGGGGCAGGGAACACCACAAATACATGCTCAACTCCAAGCATCCTTAAAAAATTCAGTCTTTTCATGGTTCTAGAGGATATTCTATCTATAGTTTTGCCCAACTGTCCTAGCACAGCACTAGCAAAAATGAACTTTGGATGGTCGATCTTGGATTCCTACTTTCTATACTTTTCTCATCTCCTTTTCCTTTCACAGCTTTCTATTCAAAAACCTGCAAGACTGATCTTTAAATGGTAAGATCGTGGATTCCTTCTTTTCTCATCCCATTTTCCTTTTGTGTTTTCTTTTCAAAACCTGCAATTTCAACTTTGGATGGTAAGATCTTGGATTCCTATTTTTTTAATGCCATTTTCCTTTTAAAGTGTGCTTTCAAACAGCTCCAAGAATGAACTTTGGATGGGTAGATGTGGAGGAAGGGGCAGGGAGCACCACAAATACATGCTTAATTCCAAGCATCCTTTAAAAATTCAGTCTTTTCATGGTTCTAGAGGATATTCTATCTATAGTTTTGCCCAACAGTCCTAGCACAGCACAAGCACAAATGAACTTTGGATGGTCGATCTTGGATTCCTACTTTTCTATACTTTTCTCATCTCCATTTCCTTTCCCGGCTTTCTTTTCAAAAACCTGCAAGACTGAACTTTAAATGGTAAGATCGTGGATTCCTTCTTTTATCATCCCATTTTCCTTTTGTTGCTTCTTTCAAAAACCTGCAATTTCAACTTTGGGTGGTAAGATCTTGGGTTCCTACTTTTTTAATGCCATTTTCCTTTTAAAGTTTGCTTTCAAACAGCTCCAAGAATGAACTTTGGATGGGTAGATGTGGAGGAAGGGGCAGGGAGCACCACAAATACATGCTTAATCTTAATCCCAAACATCCTTAAACAATTCAGTCTTTTCATGGTTCTAGAGGATATTCTATCTATAGTTTTGCGCCACTGTCCTAGCACAGTACTAGCACAAAATGAACTTTGGATGGTCGATCTTGGATTCCTACTTTTCTATACTTTTCTCATCTCCTTTTCCTTTCACGGCTTTCTATTCAAAAACCTGCAAGACTGAACTTTAAATGGTAAGATCGTGGATTTCTTCTTTTCTCATCCCATTTTCCTTTTGTTGCTTCTTTTCAAAAACCTGCAATTTCAACTTTGGATGGTAAGATCCTGGATTCCTACTTTTTTAATGCCATTTTCCTTTTAAAGCTTGCTTTCAAACAGCTCCAAGAATGAACTTTGGATGTGTAGATGTGGAGGAAGGGGCAGGGAACACCACAAATACATGCTCAACTCCAAGCATCCTTTAAAAATTCAGTCTTTTCATGGTTCTAGAGGATATTCTATCTATAGTTTTGCCCAACTGTCCTAGAACAGCACTAGCAAAAATGAACTTTGGATGGTCGATCTTGGGTTCCTACTTTTCTATACTTTTCTCGTCTCCTTTTCTTTTCACAGCTTTCTATTCAAAAACCTGCAAGACTGAACTTTGAATGGTAAGATCGTGGATTATTTCTTTTCTCATCCCATTTTCCTTTTGTGGTTTCTTTTCAAAAACCTGCAATTTCAACTTTGGATGGTAAGGGATTCCTACTTTTTTAATGCCATTTTCCTTTTAAAGTGTGCTTTCAAACAGCTCCAAGAATGAACTTTGGATGGGTAGATGTGGAGGAAGGGGCAGGGAACACCACAAATACATGGTCAACTCCAAGCATCCTTAAAAATTCAGTCTTTTCATGGTTCTAGAGGATATTCTATCTATAG